TATATATATATATATGCAAAAGAGATGTTAGAATTTTGATTGGATATTTACTTAGAAAAACGAGGACAGATAACTTGGTACAGATAAGGTTGCAGATGCCATATTTTCGCGGAAGATTATTTCTTTATCAACAAAAAGAGTCTCTCTGTTACTAAGACTAATAAAAATATAAAAGATTATACAACTAATGAATTTAACGTTAATTTAAAATTGAAGAATAAAATTTATCTTCACATTTGTAAGATGATAATTTCATAATTTCATAATTATTTTTCTCTTAAACTTTTATGTCCCGAGAGAAATTTACGTGATTTTAATAAATCAAGGAAAAAAAATATATATATTGTCACATTTTTTGCAAGTAAATTTCATTATATTGTTCTATTAAAATAAAAAAAATTCTTCATCTATCAACGTCATATGAGTTTTATTTCTCTTGAAAAATAAAAATTTGATATCCAATAATAATACTAAATTAATTTACGTAAATACTTTTTTAATGAAAATGAATAAATTTTCTTCTTTATATAAACGTTAAATTTTATATGCGACGATAATCGATCATTTATTCAGCGTAAAATTTGGATAAACTACATATATGCACACACAAATATTCAGCGCGGAATTTATATTATAATACATATGTTAAATACATTTTTCGAGACAATAACAAATCGGTTGGTATGCGGCCTTGGTGCTTGGGGCGTATAGCGTACTAATGTTTACATCGAATTGTTGTCACTCGTAGGTATTTGGCCTTCCCTGCGTACAATACAATGTTGATATTTGCGTTCAACCTGCCTTCAGTCGTACGGCGAAACTCGAATGGGAAAGTTGAAGCTCCGTATATCATCGGATTATACCTTGAGAAATTCTTTATTATAATTAGCTATTAATTCATAAGTGTGTCGAAACGATCGATATTAATTACGCGAGTGATGAGTGTCATTATTATGTGCAAAGACGAAGCAGTAAAGGATAAAACATAAAGTGGAAAAGAAGCCCCAGAGAGACATCGAGCGACTGCGGAGCAATTTTCAGGTGTGCAATTTATAACTAATTTAATTTATCATTCATTATTCGAGATTAATTGCTCATTTTTTTCTACTCTTAAGAAAGACATATTAAGTCGATATCCGAATATATGAAATGTCATTGCCCCTTTCCGCCATATCGATTGATTCTTTCACCGTGCTTACATTGGTCATGGTCAGCTGTCATCGCTGAGATTGCGTATTTATCGAAGAGAGTTAGTGCAAATATGAATATATTATTATCGCATTTATAAATATATACATTAATGTGAATGTAATATATTATTTTTAAAGAATGAAGAAAATCATAAGACGCATTTTTCTCGAATTTATAAGATGTTGAACGGCCATTATTGCAGAAATTATGTATCTTGAAAACTTGAATATTCAGGAAAGAGAAATAGAAATAATTCTATATAATTTTATTTAGATATAAATTTTTATATCAATATTATCTTCAAAATACATAAAAAATAGGAACACGATTATTTTAGATAATTACTTTGTTATTTTGTAAATTAACTGATAATACAATAACAACTTTTTTAATTAAACAATATTGCAATAATAAAAGAAAAAAAACGCGTATTATTATAAAATTCAATTTCTCTTCGGATTTTTCGGATTGTAGACGAATACCACAAGTATTCCGCAAAAGCGTCACGTGGCGCGAAGTGCACCGCGAAGTGTGACAATTTCGATAAATCGTCTTGAGAACGGCGAGTCAACGGGCGAGCTCAGGCCCGGTTAAAAGCACGACGGAGAGGGTGGAAAAAGGTCGTTGCGTGATTCAAGGAGCGCCGGGACAGCGATGGAAACGGAAAAAGGGAGAAGGGGGGCAGACGATAGAAACGGCAGAGGGGATGACTTTTGAAGGAAGGAGGGAGACGAAGGGCCTCGTGCGTTTTCGATGTACAAAAAGTAATTACGGGATGGTTTCCGGTAATCATATCTAGAGCGCATTGAATGAGCGCATTGTTCGGGCACCCCTTCAGCGATATGCACTTGTACGCGGCGCCCCTGCCTCTCCTCTTCGCCCTCGACTCATCATCAGGACTTCCACCCTATCGACGTATACTCACGACGACCACACCGCGTACGTACCCCTTCCTATAACTATTATGCACGCTCGCTCAACCCCCGGCGGCGGTTGCGGGGGCTGCGGTTACACCGCAGGTCGTTCCTGGGTTCACCACGGGACGCTCCCGTCACTGACGGTGGTTAATGCCTCGAGCGATTTGAGATTTTTGAATGCTCTTCGTCTCGTTACCGGATCCGAGGTTTTTTAAAGACGGGTACATATGATACGGACGAGTCGTGCGATCGCGAATATATGAATAATTATTACTTAAAAGAAAGAGATGATTTGATTTGATAAAAACGAAATAATAAACTTTAAAATTTCAAACTCATCACACACACATCTCGGTATTGCAATCTGTACAATATGTTAAAAATTTATTTGCTTGATATGTACTGTGTAATAAATAAGTATTAATCGAAGACTTGAAATGAGACAAAATAGCATATAATAATGATCTTAAAATTAATAATTCTAAGAATGGGGAGGAGAGATAAGATAACATGTTTTGTATTATATAAACAAGCACAGCTCAATTTATCATAAATTTTTGGCAAGACGACAGAGATGAAATTTCTTTTTTAATATGCAATATATATAATATTGCTTGCAAATATTGAAAAAAATATGAAAAATGTAAGAAAAATACGATAACAATAGGATAAATAAGAAAAGAGGAAAAGATTTTGCATTCTTTTCGTATTTTAATTCTCTAGTAGCACAAATACACAGCAACACAAAACGCGCGATATTGTTTTTCCATCGATAAAATAAAATCCTAAAATGTTGAAGAAAATAATAGAGGCGATGACGTTAGTTGGAACGTCAGTGCGCGAAATTTGATGCGGTCGCAGCCTAAATTTGACCCTCGACAACGTCGACGACAGTCTGAGGTCGCATTTATTGAGTTTGGTTCAAGAGCGCGCAAGTGCCAACGACTCGCTCCGATCTTCGAGTCCCTCGTACTCTCGTCTCTCGTTTTTCGCTCGTCTGGCCAATCGACTATTCATCGTTCGCTATTTGCGTGCACGCAGCCCGTAGAGAAAAAGAATAGTTGCTTTCCGGCGGTGGATTGAAAGGGCAAATACCTCGCGCTCGAATCACGCGTCGAAGATGTCTCCTCTTTCGATTTCTTGGCGAGAAGATCGTCTTACGCGCCCACTTTGGTTCGATTACGGCGCAGAAAACGACATGGAACGGCTGCGCGATAAGAATGTTGACGACGGAATTTATTGGCAAGGGAATGCGGGATAAGATAATTGATGATGTAATGTGAATTTTTTTTTTTTTTTTTAACTTCAACACATGTTTTCACACGCGTTTAAAATGAAATAAGTTTATGCCGATATGAGAAAAAGAAGAAAATATTATAGTTGAATGCGCTAATTTATTAGGCAAAGAGAGAGAGAGAGAATAATCGCGAATTTAACGATCACCAAATTATATGTATCATTAAATCGATATTTTCTATATATGAAACATATAAAAAACGATAAAGTTGAAAAACAAGATTTGAACGTGGAGGATATCGGACCCGGGCGGCTCGGAGAAACTATGTACAGACGACGCATTGCAGGAGGAAGACGATGGAACGGAAGGAAGCGAGATAGAGCGTGGAAGTGCGAGCGAGATCCGAGAAGAGAGCAAAGAGCATGACAAGAGCGAGGCTGTAGGGGCGCAGGGCTGCGACCCGACTGACCCTACCTCGATGCCCCGGCTGCCTTCGGAGCCCTCTCTAGCCCTACTCCGCGCACCCTTACCCTCACCCTTAGCCTCCGGGGGTGGATGGAAGGCGGGCCGGCCCATTTTTCGCGCCCCACTTGACTCCACGTCCTCATTGGCTGCCGCCCTCTCGCTCTGACCTCTCTTCCCTTGGCTGCTTCTGACACCGACAGGGTGGACGGCCGCGTTCCTTCCACCTGGCTCCTTTTTTCAGAGAAGAAAAGCAGAAGAGACGCCCGAAGATTCGGATGAAATGTTAATCGCTTGTCTATAGATCGTCGCTCGTCGTCTACCAGCCAGCTAATAACGGATTTTCACAAAGCAATTTTATGATGGTGTGGAAAAAATACCCTTTTTTGTGAAAAAAATGAAGAAAAATGTATATCAAAAAATGGAAAAGCTGCTAGTAGTTACATTAAACTTGTCATTTGCACTGCAGCGATATTTATGTGAACAACGATTGGAGCAACGATAAACGGAAATAAGACGCAGATGAATTAAGTTGAAACAAAAAGTGATAGAAATCGCGAGATCAAAACGAGTTCAAGGTTGAGTCTAGTGAATCGAATACGCCCCTTCCCGAGAAGACGAAGTTGCTCGACAGGCGCTTAGAGACGGCGATGACGATTCGTGGTAGCGCTCGCGGTCGGTTTGATAAAAAGCGTAGTAATATGATCAGCAGGTTGAAGAATCTGGAGAGCTCGGTCCACGAGAGAAGAGATCACGAGGAGAGTGGTGGTGGGATACGAGGGAGAAGGAGGGGACGAGAGAACGCGATAAGGAGAACTGCGGACCGCTTGTTCGTCGAGTTCGCGTACAGGAAGAAAAAGAGAGACGGTGAAAGGGGTGAGGAAGGAAGGGCGAAAGAGAAGGAGAGTAGAGGACGAATAGACTGACGGCAGACGGATAGATAGATGGAGAGCGATGCGAGGCGTCGGTGCGGTGAGCGAGACGACCTCAAGCGAAGGAGGGAGACTCGCTCATTTCGCGAGCGCGGGATCGAGAGAAGAAGGGAGAAGCGACGACTAGATCGAGGAGTCAAAGTGGGTACGGAACTACTCGGTCGGGCAACGCGTGCTGTTCAACCAGGGTAGGGCAAACCCGTAGCCAATGAGAGGCCGACCGGGGCGCGCCCGGGACTCGACCCCACCTTCGGTAGCCATGGAAACTGGCGGAACCCGCGAGAAACCCTCGCGGGTTTGCGATGGTGGGAGACCCAGGTCGGTGTCAGGGGTCGCCTTAGTCGGCAGTCGGTCTCTGGTCGGCCCCAAGAATAGTCGTATCGAGGCGGTAGTCGAGTATCACCTCTCTTCTTCTTCTTCTCCTTCTCCTCCTACTACTACTACTACAGCACGGGCCGCCGCTCTGCTGCTCCTGCTGCCGTTGCTGCTGCCGTTGCTGCTGCCGCCGCCGCCGCTGTCGCCGCCGCCGCTGCTGTTGCTGCTGCTGCCCGGCGCTGCGAGCGCGCGACGGAGGGACGACACCATCACGCATACCATCGCGCAACACGCATTCGCGAGAAGTACACGCGCACGCGAACGAGCGGACGTATACACGAGATTCGCGCGCAAACGCAAGTGTCGCTAAGGACATACACGTTATATCGATTACATACGCGCACGTACGTATGTACGCACGCACGCACGCAGGCACGCAGGCAAGCACGCACGCGGACGAGAGTGATCTTTGGCGTATACTCTGATACGCGCCAGAGCGCGAAACATCAAGCGGTGCTCCAGAGGACGCGGCCACTCCAAATTTTCTGGGTTGTTGGGACTTACCTGTGTCTCCCACCCTTCTCAATTAATCGTGTGTTGTCGCCTTGATGTTCGAAGAGTTGATGCTGGGATAGACCGATCAGTGTCGGTGTGGATGTCGGTGTCTTTAACGCGAGACCTTTCGCCTCGGGAAATCGCGACGTGCACGTGGAAAAGTGAAGTGCCTCCGAGTGCATGACCGAGTGTGACCGAAATTGTTACTATTTGATGCTATTGTATCGTTCGCGATCGCCAATTTACGCGCGTTTACCAAAAGTTTTCGCGATATGATACCGTGGTTGTTACCGCGCCAACAATTTGTGAGCGATAACGAGGTTGATTGGAGCTACGAAATCGTTACTTAGAATATTTTCGAGGAATTCGAAAGATTGGACATACCTTCGATCTCTGTAGATTTCAAAGAATTATCTAATTGAAGATTTAAAGAATCAAAACGGAAGTGATCGAGAATACTATTTGGAAAAATCATAGTGCATTGAAGTAGTAACTTTGATATCTTCAAATATCTGCGGTATAATTGCATCCCAATAATAATTGAAGAATGTTACGTCGATCTAGCCGTGTTTCTCTAGAAGTATGATAAGTGTCGGACATCTCCCGTACGATTTATTTCGCGATTATGCGCGCACATCTACAGATATATTCAGGACAGGAAGAAGTGAATGAAGTAACTTATAAACTTATAAACGGCAATATCAGAATAATTAACGAATAAATTGTCGAGGACATTGACTGTACCAGGATTTCGCATCTTTTCGGACCGAGCTAAATCCAACTCGAGGAATTAATCGGACGATTCTGGTCGGAAGTGTCGAGCCGACCCGGAAACAGCCGGCCCCGTCGTCGTCGGTCGCAGGTCACGGGCAGGAAACCGGCAGGGTGGTTCGAGGCGGGACAGTAGGCGCGGACGCCCTGGCGACTGCCGGGGTGGTTTACCCGGCCGCGACGGCGACGTTGTTCCCTGGCCGGGTGCCAGCCGGACACCACCACCCCGAGTTCACCACCACGTTGGAGCTGGGGTTCCCGGCGCGCGGCACCACCGCCTCGATGGCGTTGGTCGCGCCGCCGCCCTCCTGGGCCTCACGGGTTCAGGTAGGCCCGCCGCCGCCGATGCCGCCCGCGCATCTCACGCCCTCGGCCACGCCGGAGGATATCACCTGCTTGGTGCCCGCCGGTTCGGTCCTGACCTCGAGGGATCCCCTGCCACCCAGCACCACCCCCGGCAGCCAGGCCAACAGCTCGCAATCCGGCAGCTCGCAAACGGACAAATCGCCGAACATCGAGTGCGTCGTCTGCGGGGACAAGAGCAGCGGCAAGCATTACGGACAGTTTACTTGCGAAGGTGAGTGCCGTTTACATATGACGGTCTTTTCCCTTTGAGAAAGTGCGTAAAACTGTCGCGGGAATTGTCGAACGCAGTCTTAATGTTTGTATCGATCATTCGTGTGATGATAAGTGGATGCCTGTAGTCAATGAGTATAAAATTGAGCGAATCGCGATGACATTTCACGCTTCGTGACGCGAAACAATAAGTGAATGAATTTCGTTTCAAACTCGCATGTGTTAAAAAAGATATATAATGTCGGAAGATAAAAGTAAATCCATTATTACGATTGATCCATTATTACCATTGATCACGAAACTGAAACTATGCTAATGTGTGACCGTTCATGTAATTAAGCCGATTCTTCTCGTGTTATTTAGTATTGCCGTTTTATTCTATTCACTTGTGATCTTTTCATTTGTCGATTGCACATATTCTCGCTTAAAAAAATCCTGATTGAATTTCATCGATAATTCAATTTAACTCTGGTTTAAAACACATAATTTATCTTCTTCTAGATTATATTTCTATTTTAAAATTCACAAGAAAAGAATAATCTAACGATTCTAAAATATCAAGCGAAAAAACACAATGTATAGGCGATAATTGTAAAAGCGAATAAATCCGCGTTTTACTCGCGATTAAGAGCGGAAATTTGACATCTCGTCGAAGAGATTTAACTGAGAGAGAGATTCCAAGATGAGCGACACGAACGGTAGCACGCGCGCTAAAACAGCCGCATTGCGAGGATAGGGCAACCATCGAAATCTCTACCGTCGAGGTTCTCGCGACGTTTTTTTTCTTCCACGTGGAAGAGCGCGTGCACGCCCTTTCGGCGACTGTTCTCTTTACCGTGGGTATCGTAGGGCGCGCGAAGGGTATCCCTTTACCTGTGCCACCAATTTGTCACCGCGCGAGGCAGAGCTCATTCGCATCAGAAAGCCCGACATCTACCTTAATGCCCGCTTACATTAATTTATTCAAGACATGCGTGAGAGGAGGAACGGAAGTAGAAAGGTAATAAAGAGAAAAAAATAGAGAAAGGGAGAGGGAAAACTGCAAAATCTCGAATTAACGAGAGAGAGAGAGAGAGAAAGAGAGATATGCGCCGTGATAGAAGAAGGCGAACGGAGAAGGAGAGAGAAAAAGGGAAGAGGAGAAGAAGAGTACATCGTGGCCATCGGGCGTGGAGAGTACGAAAAAACAAAGAGTCACCATTAATAACCCAGTGGGGTGTTCCCCGGAACGCTTACACGTCTGTTACGAGCCTAATAACGATGTAATAGGGCCGAGGAAATGAAGCGGGATGAACGAGGACGGACGCCGAAAGGGAGAAGCGGACGCGAGAGGGAAGGGTTTATCCCATTCTGGCGCCGATGATGACGGGGTTCGGTTCCGATGGAATGAGAAACAAATTGTTTTCACGGGCGGAAACAAATCCCAGCGGGTCGTCGAGAGAACGTGCGCGCGAGCGAGCGAGCGGCGAGTTATCGCGCGTATAAACCGTAGCGGCTAATTATCCATCGGCCAGATGTATCGAGGATAACTAATTAGCCGGCCGCGCCGCGTGTTGTATCACGCCAACGAATCTCGCGATCTGTCGATATACGGGAAACGACTCAGACGATCTGAATGTCGATTTGAATATTACACAACTCGCGGTTTTCCTTGTTTTACGCGCAGCTCGAGATAAGTTTTTCGACCTTCGAGTTACCAATAAAACTGCATATACAATTGTAATTAGAGAATAGAAGCGAATATTAAGTTGTGCCGAGCAGTTAACGTAATGATACTATTTATATATTTTTTAATGAGACTGTATTCTATCTCGTTGAAAACATTTATTTATTCTTTAAGTAGCAACGACAATTTTTCTCCCCTCGCGGATTAAAATTTGAGTTAATATTTTATGAATATAAAATTCAGCCTCTCTGTTAAGAAACTTAACAGCGTTAATAAAAAAGAACCGTTAACGGTGCGTCGACTTTTATTGATATTGTCATATAAGATTCTTTTTGATATATTCTGAGGGGGAATGTTTATCATTATTAAGATTCATCTTGAAATCTGTTGATGAATACTTCTGACTTTCGTGATTTCGACACTTTCTTACGGGTTGGCCCCTTTCGTATTTGCGACGGCGACCAGCTGGCCCCTGTGCACATCCGTCCGTTAAATCATTTATACGAAGGCGAAGGATCGAAGGTTCGAAGGATCGAGACGAGAAGAGGGTAACGAAGAGAAATGTCGCGACTCGGCTCGGACAGACGGACGGACTCGGGTTAATCGAAATCTACAGCACCCTCGGAAATCAGGAGTTATATATCCTCCCGCGCTGCCTGCCCTCCCTTCTCACCCTGACCTTCCTTCGCACGCCCTATTATCCCGAATTACGCCTTATTGATACCAGATTGCCAACGGTAATTTATATCTCGCGGGTGATTTAGTGCGTTTCGAGGGCCTTGATTAATGACACACGGCTATCTGCGGTTCCTCCTCCTTTTTGACCTTCTCGCACACTTTCGACTTGCCGTCGAAGTTACCATAGGATGCACGAAAATATTAATTGGAAATTGCTTGAAAATATTAATTGAAAAACTTGCGTGGTAAACGTCGCGTAAAATAATTACATAAATTAAAAAACGAATTTGCGCGATGTCGAGATATATTATCGCACCGATGACATTTAAATTTCGTTGACACTTTTATTACAATTAGAATTTTCGTAGTGATTACGAAGTTATAAATATATGCGAAATGTAATTATTAATGTATGTATTAATCTTCTTTACGATCCTACGTTTTGAAAAAATTAGATCATTATCGCTATATCTGCGATGAATTATATTAATAATTTACGTGAAATATATCATGGATTCTTTTCCTTTTTGCAACTACAAAATCTTCGAACGATTGTAGATATAAATGTGTTTTCATATTGAAATAATCTAAGATTCATATATTGTTCTTCACACGCGTTAAAACATTTCAAGTAAATCATTTTGATATAGATAAATTTTGTAACAATCATTCTTATGACTCAGATGATAATTAGACGATATATGCTTTCTATTAAAGTAAAGAATACATAATCCTTCCCGCTCTCTCGTAGTCGAAATTATTTTTACCGGGCGTTAAAACGGTACGTTCTGCTTTCGTGATCCCCGTAAGGTACCGTATCGCCCGTCGCCGACAAGTATAGCAACACGAATACCTCATGCGAGCTCATAACATTCTTCCATTCACCGCACATTATCCCTCTCGCTGCGTAGTGGTTCCGCATTTCTGCGTTTAGCATTCATCGCTCGGTAGACGTTACCGCAGGATTGAGCTTATTTGCGGTAACCGACAGCGGGGATCAAGCTATTGAGAGCTCGTTAGGTTTACTATCGTCGGTGTATTGCCCTCGACGGAGACGAGACCATGCGTGGGATCTGGCACGTAACACGCGCGGACACGACGCGGAAATCATGGGATACTGAAGCGCGAGAGAAGACGATAGACGGATAGACAGATGGATAAATGGATTTGCTCGACGTTGAATCCTGATCGATTTGGATAGATAGAAAAAATATACTTTATACCGGGATGAGTCCTGAGATTGTCCGTAAAGTGCCTAGGAGCATTCGAACAAGATAACATACGAACGAGAATAATCATTGCCGTTTCGTAATCTATGTGATAAGTAGATATAGAATAATCATATGCGTAGTAGAAGCTGTGAAATCAATCGTAGTAGTTTCCATAAACTCTTAAACTAGTTATTCTGTAATAAAATATAAAATATAACGAGATTATATGAATTTATTGCTAACATATATATTCTGTAACTATATATACATTAGGAATAAATTTATTAATACGTTTTACTTTTTATTACATTATTATATACTTTACTTACAGAAATAAAAAAGAGATATGTTTTCTTATCTACAAATTATAGAATTGATACTCTTTATCCTCATAAATATCCTCGTAATATTGTATTTACGACATACTTGACGATTTAATGCAGATATAACAGATAAACATATATCGTGATTTTAAGAGACAAAGCAGAATACACGTGTAATTTGTTTAAAAGCAAAAATACACGAAACTATGTCCTCTTTCTTCCTCGTGCTATAACTGTATTAATTATTACATACCATCTCGCATTATCAGGCAATATGCTCTATAATTTATGGAGCTATTTGGTATTTAGAAAAATCCTTAACTAACCGTTGCAGAGATGGGCGAAGCTGTCGGGCAATTAAAGCGTCGCACGGCGTTGCTGCAGCATGCGACCGCGATAATTGCTTCCGTGTACAATGTGTAAACCGTTTCCGGCGGCTCGCGCGCGGTTAAACCGCGCGTAATCTGTGCACGACGAATTTCACGAATTGCCCCGGCCACGTCGGCCAGATGTCGGTCGACCACCATCGCGCTTGCTCGCTCGCTCGCTCCAAGTACGCGAATGCGGGGATTCACGATGCTGCAACTGATCGACCGCGTCGCATCTCCCGAAGGGCTTGTTCTCGCTGCGCGAGTTAATTGACGGGTAGGTCTGTCGGAAGAACCGGCCGTCTTCATTCGATAAACGAGTTAGTCGCAGCACCGGCTATTAATCTGCGCGCGCTTATAATAAATTGACCATATTTTTTACGAGAGAAATAATCTAAGAGCCTTCTTGACGTGTTAAATAACTGTTTTAATAATAAAACAAATATTGATTTAAAAACTTAATTTATTGTTAGTATTTATTTTTATCTAGTTTTAGTTAGTTTTTATTTTTATTTTAGTATTTTTATCTGATAATTAAAGCATATAATATAATATGTTTGACGAAAGTTAAATCATAAAATAATTATTTTTAGCAAGAAAGATGAGATCTTTAATGATGTTGCTTAAAAAAAAACAACTGATTGTTTACTCGTACAATTAGTCTGCAGCCATAAAAGTGTAGCATTATTGTTATTTATTTTTTTATATCTTTTTTTTTGTTCTAAGAAAGAATGTTTGATGTGTGAAACCGCAAC